GCTGTGCGCTCGTAGCTGAGATCCAGAGCCGTCAGCACATCCTGAACGATGTCCCCGACCAGCGGCAGCAGGCTGCAGTCAGAGTGAGTCAACATAACTGTCAACACCCGTGGAGCCTGGCCAACAAGACAGGATTATAATGAAATACAGTACAAGCTCTGGGCAGCACAGGCTTAAGCAGACGAAGGAGGAAATCAGGTAAACCCTCCAGCAGTCATTTCTGTGTCCATTTTGGGCTAAAAACAAAAACACGTCATAACTACCTGTGGATGCTGGCTGAGCCTCTGAAGGTTGAGTGAAATGTCATTAAGCAGGTAGTCAGAGTTCTCATTGATCAGTTCCTTGAGGGAAGCGTATCCACAGGCCTTACTGATGTCCCACATGGAGCTCAGTGCCGCCTGGCTGACCAGCAGCGTCTCCTCACCAGCTTTCTCCAGCACAGGATACAGTGAGGTCATCAACAAGGGACGGAAATCGCGGCCCAGTGCCTGAGCACAGCAGGCGATGCCCTCGAGTTGGATGCACAGCTGCCAGATGTTGCTGTTGAGCTGGTGGATCGTGGATGCAGATGTTGATGATGAAGGAATCACTTGGAGAGAGCTTGTATTTGAGTTGCCGGCATCACTGTTGGATATGGAGAGTAGTCTGGATGGACTGAGCAGCTACGCAAGGAGACAAAACACATGTTAATGCACTGCTTTCTAACCACTTTTACACATGTACTGCAGACCTGAGGTTTTCTAGATATTATCCATGCACGTGAGAACGCAAATGTCTGACACAGTTAGATCAGACGTTAAACAGCCTTTAGCCTTCCTGCTCCCGAGTAAACGCCTGTATTATATCTGACTGTGCTCATGTGGGGATAGCACAGATTAGCCTTGCTCAAAGTCAAGAGTGGGGCCAATTTAGGATCTTCACTCAAATCAAAATACAAGGGAAACTGATGTATTTCCTTACATAAGCAAAAACCACACAGGCTGTTATAAAATGCTCATCCTACGCACTCATATGTAAAGTGTTAAAATCAATGTGTGGCTCACCTGCCACTAAGAGACAATCTTGAATAAAAGAGCAGTAAACTTAATAATAATAATGATAATTATTATCATTACAATGACTTTATTTATGCAGCACTCTCCTCCAGGCTTAAAACGTGTTTGTGGGACCACCAACAGCCTTTGATTAGATGATCTCAGGCTGCAAGAGGGAGCGGGGGGTTCAAAAAGATCAGACATGTAGGCAGGAGCGTCACGACTCACAGCGTTAACAGTCAGTGAAATGAAATCAATTCTAAAATGTAATGGAAGCCAGAGTAAAGAGAACAAAACCAGTCTAATGTGTTCTCTTTTTCTATTTAAGTCAGAGTAATGAGTAAAATCATAAACTAATAATTTCCTAGTACCAGTTTTGATTCACATTTTATATAAATACATCAATTAATAGATAATAAATAAATATAAGTTAAGTATATAGCTTTGAGCTCTAATAGAATTATTACAGCCCAGCTGCAGTACCTTTGTAGCCCACCAGGGGGCCCCAGCCCACACTTTGGGAATCACTGTTGTTTATAAATGTCCTGTGAATTCTCAGCTATAGAGGAAGTAGCATGCATGATCTCTCCAATCGAACTATCGACATCTTTTACTGAGCCCGTCTATGCAGGCAGCTTGTTTGTCTCAAACAGAGTCATTCTGTTTCTTTGTGTAAAAGATTTTTTATAAGGATGAAAAAGCATTTAACATCTTACCATGTGTTTTAGTAAGAAAGCTAGGTTCATACTGCACTCCATTTATGACCCAGTTTGACTTAAGTGCAGAAACAGAAAGCGCCTCTATAGGGGTCAAAAATTCCTCCTGACAAACATGTATGCTGACAGAGTGAAACTGCAAGTTTATCTGCTAACGAACAGAAAGCTGCCAGAGGTGTATGGCCTCTGTTCGGTGGAGACTTGCAGATATTTTCTCGTGCTCCAAAAATCCAGCCTTGATACTTCAGATTAGCTACTTCAAATCTCGCAGCAGCTTTGACTTCTGCTCAGTCTGCTGAGAAATCAGTGTGAAAAGAGGCGTGGATACGTGAGCTGGTAAAGCCCAGAGCCCACGTGATTTTAAAAAAAGTTTGTGCAGAAGTAAACGAAGAGTCCCTGACACTCCCAGACGTGTGAAGCCAGACCATCACAAAGACATTATTTCACTTCTTTGTGTCTTTGGAGTTGTAAAGTGTTTTTGTGCATGTAGAACAGCAAAACATGGTAACAGGCTGCTGGAACCAGAACTGGCCAAATATATATCCGCTGATCGCTCCTCACTCTGTACAATAAAGCCCTTGCAACACCCAAAAATGTGCCCTCTATTCCTTGCCTATGTTTGCACCCCCTCATATAAGATATGAGGGGTGTTGTTTATGTTTTCAGTCTTCAGTTAAATTAGTCTAAACCAGGTTTTACTGCTTAGATAAATTTTATAGAATCTATGTACAAACAGCTCTGCTGTTTAGACTGGATGTGCATTTTGCACATTTCTTTGTAATCATCTCTACAGGAGATGAGTCAGTATACTACTTGTCAGGAACTCCACTTAGAGGCAAGATGAAGTTAATAAATGATATACTATGTGTGGAAATGCTTGATGAATGATGCCCCAGGACTGAAATATCCTCACCTGCTGATCCTGTCGGTCTCTATCCGTCTCCTCGCTGACTGTAATCAAATGCCAGTTGTTCAGGCTGGTGTATTCCTCAATGATAGAAACAGCTGCTGCTTTAATATCTTCCTGGGTGGCAGGGCTTTCACGAACTTTGGTCTCCAAACCCTGACTCTGGTCTGCCACAGCGATACCTGCTGCACCTCTAACTGTCTCATTTAACACCATGGCAGCCTGCTTTCTGTACACTGAAGACTGGCAGTACAAGTCCAGCAGATGATCGGTCAGCAGGTAGATGTTGCCATAATAACCTAAAGACAAAAAAACGTTATCTGTGAGAGCTAAAGAAATGAGCCAGCTACAACCCACGAGTATTTATACCAGCTGTCGTTGTTATTAGAGGATAACTGCTTCAAATTCATTTGAAATCACAATGGAAAAGGCACAATGATGATAAAAAACAGGAGTGGCTAACTGAGTCCAAGTCAAAGAGCAATTATACCTAATGTGCGACAGATCTCCATGAGCACAGAGAAGATTTTCTCATCTGTGAAGTAGAGAAAATGCTTCCTCTGTGTGTGAGTGGTGTAGGAATCATGGGAGCCGGTGCTCGTCTCTACGGCAGCAGCGTAACTCCTCTCCTCCACAATGCGAACATCCATCACATCGAGTTCCAGCACCTGTAAAGCATGCAGAAGCTTTAGGAAATTTAACGGGGTTAGGAAATCTAAAAACATTCAAGATTGGACCTTAAAGCAGCCCCACTACAGACTACAAAATACTAATGCCAAGGTGCCCTGCATTTCTACACAAAATAAGACATATATCATTTTGGTTTTGTACGTGAACATTGACAAGTCAAATACTATATTTTGGGCTGCAGTCTTGAAGAGACTACATTTAAAAATATTATTTTTTGCATTAATAACCAGGTCACCAACAACGATGAGTCTGAATACAGAGAGGAGGTACAAGACCTGGTGGACTGGTGTCAGAGTAACAACCTTCAGAAGACTAAAGAGATGGTTGTTAATTTCAGGAAGAGCTCAACGACCCACACCCCACTGCAAATCAACAGATCTGCTGTTGAGATGGTCAACAGTGTAAAGTTCCTGGGAGTGCACATATGATGACCTCTCTTGGAACCTGAACACCAAACTGAAGAAGGCCAGTCCCCTCCTCCCATCCTCACATCATTCGACCAGGGAAACACTGAAAGTGTCCTCTGCTGCTACATCGCTATCTGGTATGGGAACTGCACTTTTGCTGAAAAGACGTCTCTGCAGCGGATAGTGAGGACAGCAGAGACGATCATTGGAGGCCCTCTCCCACCCATCTCCCAACTCTACGACACACACATCATCCGACGTGCGAACAGCATGGTGAAGGACACTTTCCACCCCTCATATGCTCTATTCTCCCTGATTCCATCTGGCAGACGGTTTCGCTGCAAAACCGTAACCACCAGACACTGCAAGCAGTCAGAGCCCTCAACTCAATACAACCAAAGAACTGACATACACAAACACCTTACAATACTCACCAAAAGACTCAAAAACAACAAAAACTTCCACAAATCCACTACAAACTGGACCTTATTTGCACACTCATTCACATAGTTACTGTACACATCTAAATTATACTATATTTGCACATGTCTTCGTTCTTATATTGAATTGAAATTGTATTAAAGAGTCAAGAATAATCCTTATTATTATTGTTATTAAATAAATGGTTGTATAACAAAACTTTATATCACTTAAAACTAGGAAAAAAAATAGTTGTTCTTTGTGGTAAAGTGTTGAGGATTATTTAGTAAACTGACAGCCTGAGGAAGTAGAGAAAATGAGGAAAGAAGGAAACTGCTTAATGTTTTATATTTCTGTATACTGACAGATGGCAGCATGGTGAACAGACTGGCTGAGATGGGAATTGCCTTTTAGTGTCCTCTGGGCTGTGCAGACACCTCCCTGATATCATTGCTCTTTGGTAGATGGGAAAAATGTAAAAGAAAAACTCACTGTGAGTAGCTACAACAGCACATTTGTTAGAATTTGACGAATGAAATGTCTAAATATTAAAGAGTATTAAGGGAGATGGGATCAAATAAGTGTAAACTTCTTTCTACTCTTTTTTGACTATATAAATTGCGTGGATTATTTAGATATAGAGATATTTGTGGCAACTCGATTTCTCTCACTTTACTTTTTTATGTCTACTATGCTCATTTACAGATCGTCAGACACACATGTCTGAGCTGTCCGACACACACAGATCACATTACATGTGCATGTGGGGTTTGAAGTACTTTTATGTATAGATGAGATAACACCTTATCACATCATCATCAAAAGTGAGCAAAAAAGCTTGTGTGTTCTTTGTTTTTGTGTGTGTGTTGGTGCATGCTCAACAAGACACAAATTGTTGTACAGATCTCTAAATCTATATATATATATATATATATATATATATATATATATATATATGATAAAAGTGTACTTTTTATTTAAATCCATGGCTGTTGTTGCATAATAACATCAAAAGCAGTGTAACCTTATTGTTACATTACCTGCATTAAGGCTTTGGAAATCCTCTCCAGATGTGCAGCCGAGTTGAGCACCACAGAGACAAGCGGTCCTAAGATTTTTAAGTAGCCCAAAAACACGTTGAGAACAAAGAGCTTCTTCTGGTCATCAGAGGTCCTCATCAGTCTGGGTAGGGAGGTGGCCAAAGAGTGGAGATTCTCAGATAAGTTGTCAGTGAAGGTCTGAGTGCCAGTGCTGCCGCTGCACCTCTGATTCCTCTGGGATACCTCCCTGAGAGCAACTTCACACCTAGAGGAGAAAATAGCAGCATCAGTAAACATCTTGTATCCATTAATTATGATTCATTTCTTCCTTTTCTTTATAAAAATATCAATCAAATCAAACCTCTCTCTGACTCTAGGTTCCACATCATTGATTGCCCCCACCAGTGCTTCTAGTAGTGATCCTACACAATCAGTCAGTGAGCGACTGCATTTGGCCAGCAGGTGATCGGCCAACTCCACCATTGCCACTCTAACCCTCCAGTGCTGGTGCGCTGAAGTGCATGAGATTATCTTCTTGAGCAGGACAGACAGCTTCCCTGCCGTGTTCTTCACCCACTCCGGTGTCCGAAGGACTATGAGCTGTCCGATCCTCCCCAGGTCTGCAGAGGGAGTCTTATAGGACTCAGTGGACTGGAGCTGGACATCCTCCATGACAAGCTCCACGGTCCTGGACCAAACCTGACAACAGGTGATCACATAATCAGATCACTGCAGTGCATTTGTACTATGATATTGTCAAATTTTCCTTTAGTTCTGGAAAAACTATACAAGCCCTCTTTATGCTCTGTAAATGAAAGGTTTAGATCAACTGAATCATTCAACAAATCAAACAATCACATAATAATTTTTTTTAATATACGGTTTATTAAATGTTCAAGTCAGTTAACAAGGTAAATGTTCACTTGCGAACTATGAAATTACATGAGATCATCGATTACATATGATGACTATCGTCTAATAAAGTGTTAAGCCATTATTGTGCTGTTGTTGTAAATCTGATTAACAAACATGTGGTACCTTGATGGCCCGGACTGTGACTGCATGGCCTTGCCTCAAATCTCCTGTAATGATCCTGGCCGTAGCCATGGTGATTCCAGGTAAAAATGATGCCATGGCGCTGCCTACAGAGCATCGCTCCTCTGATGATGGGACTACGTGTTCCTGGGTGCAGTCACACTGCAGAGTCAAAGCCTGGAGGCACTTCAAGGCTGCTGTCTGTATATCTCGAGATTTCTCCTTCTCTCCCAAAGCCAGCAGCAGTGAAACGGCAGCACCCAGCCCAGGCAGCATAATCGGTTCAAAGAGTTTGAACACTATATCACCATAAGCAGCATGAAGCAGGGCATCCAGGCACCTCAGAACAGCTGATTTTAGCTCCTCTGACGTATCTGCAGGCTTCCCGGGATCAGCTGAAGAGGACAGGCACAGGCAAAGCTCGGAAAAGAGGTCGCGGAGGGTTTCCCAGCTGTGGATGCAAGTGTTCTCCAAAACATAGCTTACTGCCTCGGTCACAGACTGGACCAGCTGCTCCTTCTTAGCCCCGGGGACTTTAAGGACAAATCGAAGAGGGAATAGGACGTACTCCTGAAGCTGCTGCAACGTGGCATCGTTGACTTCTTTTAACTGGCCTTTGAGTGTCTCCACATTAACCACTGTGGGCTCTCGGGTAAGCAGGACACAGGCTGGGCGCAAGTAGGCAAAAGCAATCTTTGGATCGCTTATTTGAGACATGGCTGGAGGCATCACTGCAGGGGCGCTTAGGTGACGGAGAATGGCTAGAAATGCAGAACACGAGAGTAAGTGTCATAAGCAGCCGGGAAGCTGTCTGTGCTGCTCAAGAAGATATAATTTTATTGATTTATTTTGTTACTTTGTCTTTGTGATTGAATATGATTTGGTTAGCTGGTAACTTTGAAGGCCTATATTTACAGGTTAATTACATAAAAACCTACTTCTACAGTATGATCACAGGTACAGACTTTGTATATAAATGGTATTACAATGCTTTACATCTTACTGTCAATAAAAGAATCCATCCGAATTTGCATGCACCAGCATCACTGATAGTTATGATGTTTTGTGTTGCCAAACACTAGCGTTGGTCCCTTGCATCCGTTAGTACAACTATAACACTTTTGGAAGACTTGTTTGCTTCATGTAGATCTTAGGATACGGAATACAAACTTAACAAGAGCATGTCGAAGAAGACGAGTCTACCATGTAGCTGAACTACAGCATGCTGACAGCATCCAGCTTCTAAAGCACCACTGCGGTACCAGCGTCAGTATCAATACGGCCTACCTTCACATTGTTAGGTTTAAGTGGAGCCCCCTTCCGTGAAAGCGACTGGAAATGCTTGCCTTTACAATGAAAAATTAGATTTTTACAGACAGATGAAGCTGTACCGATAACCAGCATCATGAGTGCGCCAACGACGCACATGTTTGACGTAAACTAAGGCTTCCGACTTTGGGTCTTTGTCTTCAAAATAAAACAGAATTTTCTTCCTATGATAGAAACCCTATAAAATGTGTAATAAAAACATCGGGGAATTTATAGAATTTTTTTTATGAGAAAGACGTTTGCTATAGAGAAATTCCCATTTTTAAGCTTGTTCTGACAATTTTTAGCTCTCGAAACGGTTTGACGCTTAACGATGTTAGCTTTATTTTGAAAGTAGAGTATTCCCAAAGGAAGTCCGTTCATTTAAGCGAGCTTGACTACCGATCGGACGTCAGACTCATACATATAGGCATATGTTTGCCGGTGCTGCACAATTCTAGTATCTGTATTTAGTTATTTGAACTAAACATATTTTGAATACAGAAGATTTTGTTGGGGCTGTCATTTTCCGTCGCTGTGGTGGACATGAGACAGCTACCCTAATTACAAAGGTAATACAAGTGTTGTAAAAGTTAGCTTAAAGACGGCTAACAGCTAAAACAGTCTGTGATGATGTTACAGACATGATTATTTTGCTACGTTAAATCCTTTGACAAATGTTATGGTACCTTGTAACACACCAAAACACACAGTCGATGCTCTTATTACAATGAAATCACATCTTTTAGATGTGGTTCTGTTGTCTACCTCAGACCTTTACCAACATTCACGAAGCTATGCTTCCTCTTTGTCCTGTTGTCACTCGAATATCTGGAAATTTCTTCTCTTGCTATAAATAGGTGGCCTATAAAGTGTGACTTTCGAAATGATCTTTCTTCTTATATCTAGATTCCCCTTTTATCTTTTGCATCTTGTTTTTTTTCGCAAGGGGATAAGCTGCCGGTTCCTGCCCTGGCTCGTACCTAGGGTCAGCATGGATGAAGAATCCCTTGAGGCAGCCATCGCTGCCTATGGTGCCCAGTTGCAGCAGGTGGAGACAGCCTTGTCTGCCGGCCTGGACCCCACCCAGCACTCAGACCTGCTCAAACTGAAAGAAGATCTCTGTCAGCTGATAGAGCTCACTGAGGCCAGCCTGGTGTCTGTCAGAAAAAGTCAGCTGCTTGCAAGCCTTGAGGAAAGTAGCGGACTGCAAGTGAATGCATCAGAAGCAGCTACTGATGCAAACGGTGGACTTGATGCTGAGTTTGCTGCTTTCTACTCTGAACTTGGGGAGTCTTCGGGTAATAGCTCAGATTCCAAAGAGAGGACTAAGGATGGGGGAGGGGGGGAGGTGGATTATGAAGAGGAAGAGGAAGAAGAAGAAGAAGAAGAGGACAAGGAAGAAGAAGATGCACTAAGTGGTACCAAAGTAAGAGCCCCCTATCGGACAACATGGGGAACATTGGAGTATCACAATGCCATGGTAGTGGGGGCAGAACCGCCAGATGGAGATGAGGCACAAGTGCGAGTGCTCTACATCTACCCCACCCAGAAGTCTATGAAACCCTGCCCGTTCTACTTGGAGGATAAATGTCGCTTTCAGGATAACTGCAGGTAAATTATCACTTTCACTGAGGTGACCATAAATTACCGACAGCGTGATTTAAATTTGGGGCTTCTGTCAGTTCAGTCCCTTACAAGATTATTGTATCATCTACTTGGATCTCAGATCTGTACACACAGAGAGTTATATTTGGTGTTTTTTCACTATCAAAGGTTTTCTCACGGTGAGGTGGTCTATGTGTCGGAGCTCAGAGAGTTCCTAGACTCTGATCTCAGTAATCTGGAAGAAGGTTCATCTTGCTTGGCTCGTCATGAGGACGGTATCTGGCACCCAGGCAAAATAAAAGGTATTCTGTTCACAGAGTGGTTGTAATGTAAGCACAAAACAAGTATGAAGAAGTATAAAGAAATAACTCAAAGCCTTCCTCTCACTTTAGAAATTGACAGCGGTTTCTACACTGTAAAGTTTGACTCGCTGCTGCTGAAAGATGCCGTGGTCGAGGCCGACGGCGTTATCCCACCTTTAAGGGAAGATGACCCGCTCTCATCAGAGTCCGACTCGGATGACATCGGTGATGGAGATGATGCTATGGGATATGCAAAAGGTGTGTTTACATTTTGTAAGAAAAAACAAATCAGCCACAACATCAGAAAATATAATCTTTAAGTCTGCCTGCCAATAAAAAAGGCAATGGGGTTCAGAGGCAATCACTTAAAAAAAGAAAAAAAAAAGAAAATGAAGAGGCTGTATGGTGTCGTGATTTCTCTTGGCAAGTGAACGATCACCTGCTCGATTCACCTTTGGGGTTTTGTCAGTAAAACTGTGGTAACTCCTTCTGACAAACAAACAGCTGAAAGTAGCTTATGTTAAAAAAAAGTTTCATGTCAGGACATCATAGAGAACGATGTTAGTAAAAATGTATCTGTCACATTGGGCCAGTTATTAATATGAAGAAGGGTTTTCTTGACTTGAAAAAAAAACTGACTGTGTCTACTCTGATTTTTACTTGTTGTGCAACAGTTATAGACTCTGCTGCGGAACCCACTGAAACATCAAGCAGTGCTAATTTTGGTGGCTGGGAGGCGCATACCAGAGGCATTGGATCCAAGCTCATGCTCAAAATGGGCTACGAATATGGAAAAGGTGAGTGCAAACAGTGCACAACACAGCGCTGAGGCTCAGAAGTCACAATGTCCACTGCTGGCATGCTGTTTAAAAATCAGCTAACCTAACTCTTTGCAGTCATTTTGTTTTATTTTTAATTCTTGAGTTTTAAAAATAGGACAAAACATACATTTAAGACACTTTCAGAAACAAGAAAAAGTAGCACCAAGATTAGGAGAGGTTGTGATGGTGTGTGATTAGTGTAAGACAGTGGTGTTTGGGTGAAGCAGTTAGACGCGAGAGGGCAGTAAGGTGCACTTTAAAATCATATACAATGCATCACAGCTCAAAAGTGTGTCATCTAACAATAGACACACAAATGTGTATGCTTAAATTTGTGCTTTGTCCAGTTTTATTTTCACATTGCTCTGTACATGATTGTATGTTTGTCACGTTAACAAAACAAGTTTTCATATTAACTTAAAGTGGTTTGTGGTATATTCACACCAGACAAATGTCTATCCAAAATAAAATCAAGTCAAGTCAGATGTTTTTGTATAGCACATTTAAAAGACATAGATTGGTCTTCAAGTTTGAGTTGAAGATTTCCAATCAGACCTACTTTGATTTTTGGTTTGTGTGGAAGGGGTGGGTTGTTTATTAGGGAAAAGCTTAGATATTACAAACAGCCTCTTCCATGATTTTCTTCCTACTTTTGTCATACAAAAGAGGGAGAGCAAGTACCAAAAATAGAGATAACTAATTAAATAACATTGATTAATTATTATTAAAGGAATGAAAGACAAAAAACAAAAATGTTCCCAGTATCTTTTGGTTCTTCCAGTCTAATATTCAGTTGTTGAAAGGAGGAGAAATAACCTATATAAAATTATAAATAAAATTATTTATAATGGCAGTGTGTCTGTCTATCTATCTATCTATCTATCTATCTTTCCATCCATCCATCCATCCATCCATCCATCCATCCATCCATCCATCCATCCATCTATCTTCTGGTTTTCACTGTCACACTCTCTATCATTTTTAGGTCTGACATTGAGAATTACAGTCAAACTACTAAACTAACATTAAGTTACATACTGGCTAACTGGTGTCTTAGTTAACATATTTAGAATGAATACAAATGCATTTTCACTGCACAGTGAATCCTAATAAAAATCTATGTATACAGATGTAAGAAGCGCATTACACTGTGTTCTTCTTCACTCACTGTCTTTTATGTTTTCAGGCTTGGGAAAGCTCCAGGAGGGCAGGGTGGAGCCAGTAACGGCGGTGGTACTGCCCAAAGGAAAGTCTCTGGATCAGTGTGCTGAGTTGACCCAGAGACGCACCCAGAGCAAGGCTGCCAAGGACGGCGCACAAACAGGTCGCCCAAAGCGGCGAAGAAAGCCTCGGGTCGCTACCAGAGGGGGCCAGACCGTTTTTGACTTTCTCAACCACAAGCTTGGAGGCAAGACCGCTCATCCTCCCGAGGGGGGTGCTGTTGCGCCATCAGCGGCAACCGGAGTGGAGGCTTACCGGGGAGGAAAAAGCACCAAGAGGAGTCTGAACGTGAGGCTGTTCCAGGCTGCCGAGAGGGTGTCCCAGACCGAGAGGGAGATCCAGAAGCTGAGCGAGTCACTCAGCAGACAGGCAGGCAGGTCAGTACTGGGGTCAGTGCACAGTCTTCATTAGCTGTACTGCAACCTTAGCCAATTGTTTCTCCACAGAGCCTCAGCAGCTGCTGTCACATTAGAAACCATTGCATATATTGCTCTGCTTACACAATACAACAGTCTATTGTGAGATATGAAGCATGTGGAACTTGAGTTGCTATAATGTTCCTGACAGTTAAAGTGGCAATTAATGTGAGTTCACAAAGAAGGACTGTGGGAGTTGCGCGAAAATGTAAATAAGGTGTGAAGTTGCGAGGTTAGACACATGGTTCTGTGGCCAACGCAGCTAAATTCAGTTTGACTCATCATCTTGTCTCAATTCCTAATCTGTCTGGGTTTTTATTTATTTATTTTTATGTGTGCAAAGGGACCCATCCATAGTGAAGCAGTTGGAGGAGAAACTGTCAGCAGCCCGCCGGCTGTTGGTCCAGCAGAAAGCCCAGGAGCTGTCCATCCAGAGAGAGCACAAGAAGGCCGACACACACAAGAAGATGACTGAGTTCTGAGCTCAGTTGTCTCTCAAAGACATGGAGGATAAAGGAAAGCACCGTGAGCCTGAAATGAACTTTTGCTCCCGCCCTTATGTCAGGTTTTTTTTTTTTTTTGCTACACTGTATTTGAAGACTCTTGTTTTTTTTCCAGCCGTTTCTCACCGCCGTCTCTTGATGCAGAGTGAATCCGCTGCTCTTCATTTATTTTTAAGCGCTGGCGCATTATCCGCTCAGCATTGATGTTTTTTTGATTTTCAGCTGCACAGGTCTCAATAATGTTCAAGAATATTTTTCATTTTTAATGAACTTTTGTTTTCCTAGCTGTATTTTTCTTTACCCGAACTGAAGAAAGAAAAATATATAGCTTGTTTGGAGAACCTATTGTGTGCCTTCCTTTGTTCTTAACCGCGCACACCTGAGCTCCACTGTAAACTGAATGGACTGTGTAACAGAATTTGTAATGTGCTCCCATTGTTAGGCTTCTCTGGCAGAGGTTTCGATCGCTCTGGCCGAGCACCGCTCCAGTGGTTGGTGCTGTATACTTGAACTTTCATACTTTTAAAATTACATCCTCAGGAGTTGGAAGACCTTTGCAGAGTTTTGAAGTTACGCCCACGCCTCTTACGGCTCGTACACACCATCTTTGAAGTTGCAATCGTAACCTTTCTGTTAAATAATGAATTTGGAGAGCAGCCTGCCTGCTCATAAAGTCTGACACACATTGTCTGTGGGGTTGGGTGGTGGCTACGTGAAGTAAAAGGTTGCAGTCGTGGTGCTGGGCAACTGTAGATCAGGCCTTCGTCCTTTTATAAGCGACTTCAAAACTGATGTGGCGAGGCATAATAACGCTATTACTTCAATTTCTAAACACCTCCATTTAACATCTCAAATGAGTCCAGTGAGGTTTAGTGTGAGTCGGAGACCATGACAGACAACTAGATGAACTGGTGAGCAATCATATCGTCCCTGAAGGAAGACAGATTGTACAACCACGCTAAAGCAGTAACAGCTGCGGTGAGATACAGTGTAAGCCTGTGCACGGGGGTCTACTGGAGAAGGCGGGAAAGCCACAGAGGCAGAACTCCTAAACCTTCTTCTCTCCGTACCCTGAGGGAAGCCCCCGCTTGCACCTCGGTCTGTTGAGTGACAGCACTTTGACTGCTGATGACTGCAGGGGTGACGCTGAATTCGCTGATCATGGGCTAAATGCACTATGTGTGTTGATTTAATAGGATCCCTTGAGGGTCTGTGCTTCACGCTTTACCCCATTTATGAGGGTCCAGTCAGTGCCCAGCTAGAGGCAGACTCACTGCGTGTCCTACTGTGGGTGTGCTGTCTGCATGGTTGGGTGTATGAGTGCACCACACACTCCCACAGACACTCGTGCCATAAGAATTTGCTGGGGCAGTTTTTAACTGCACTTCGCGGAGCCTCACAATTATGTGAGGTGAAATTACTTCTATTACTGTATGTTACTTGTGTTCGTATTATATAGGTAACACATTACTCTGCTCATTTTTACTTGCTTTTAACTTTTTAAAAGAGTGTTACTCTGAACATGTAGGTCAGCTGAGCTTTCTAATGTTTTTGTTTAATACTCCTGAGAAAAGTGTGTGTTTTTATGCCCTATTCATTAGGTTTCACAATCACTGTCACAAATATTGTAAATATTTTCTTATGTACAGTCATATACAGGGTAGGAAATAAAGACATATGGTGCAGGTGGATGTCATTCTAGCACAGACAGGTTTATTGGCACACATCTTACAGATTAAAAAAAAAACCAGGCCAACGTTATAAAAGTATAAGGTTATTATCAGATATCTGGTTCAGTCTCTTACAGTGAACCTCACGCATGAATACAAATGTCTCACTTTCTTTGTGATGAATATTGCTGAAAACTGTGAACTGATTCAGTTATCTAGCAAACTATTTCGTGTCTGAACTCACAGAATAGATTATTAAAGTCATGCTAACTGTCTCAGTGTTCCAGTTTTTACACTTAGTGGTGTTCCTGAGCTAATAGGCTTTGAAAAGGTGCAAGTAAAATCCTGCCAAGGGCTAGAGACCCCTGCACCTGCTCTGGCTGATCTTAAAGCCCCAGAGCTGGGCTCCAACCTGTGGTCTCACCTCCAGCTGACCCTCCAGCTTGAGGCTGATTTGTTTCATTAACACGGAGGAAATGAAATAGGACTTCCAGTATTAAGTAAATAGTCAAAACTGCTTCGATATAAAAGCCACTGTCTGACCGCAGTGTTTATGGTAATCTGTCTGACTTTATCTTTGTAAGTTTTACGTCTAAACATGACCATGAAACCTCCATTGTATTCATTCAGGTTACTTTAAAGGTAGAGTTCTTCCTGCTCGGGTTTACAGTCATTATAGAAATGCTTTAATGGCTGAGTTTGCCAGTGATGTTCTGACTGCTTCCCTAACAGGCGCAGCCAGTTGGCATTGAATCTTGGATGCAGATGCTGTTCCCTTGTGAAGATTTTGGCTCAATATACTAGTTTTTGAATCGTGAGTTTTACTTGAGATGAAAGTGACTTTGTGAAAATCTCTCTAGGATGCTTTTAATGCTCCCAGAGAAGCACGAGTGACTCCCAAAGCACTTAATGCATACTGTTTAAATACAAAATATTCTCATCTGACACAAATACACTGTAATCATGAAAACATGACTCTTCACATATGCGGCACTCTGTTCTATACATTGAAGGCCTTGCTATCTACCTTGTATGCACACTTATTACCAATTAACAGTTAACAAGTTTTCTTTTTACAATTTAGCATGATGCATGAAATTGACATGTTTTTCCATCAGTTTACACTTAATAACACATCAGTGACTCACACGAAGGTATTTGGAATATTGTCTCAGAACTGAGTCTTCTTGCTAAATCAATTTTAGCTTTGGATGGGATGTGAGGACTCTGTCCCATTCTCCTGAAACATCCATTTAAACTCTGTCAGTCTGGATGGGAACCATCCTTGAGCTGCCATCTGCAGGTGGCATACTGACGTTAAGTCTCGTCTTTGGTTGGGCCACTCAAGTGGCAGCATTGTGCTGAAACCACACTTGGACTTCATTTCAGTGTCATGTTGAAAGGTGAACCTTCATCCCAGTTTCAGGTTGCTGGACTCTGGAGACTCTTCTTCTTCTAGGACTGTTCTGGATTTTAATGCATTCACACCACCTTCAGTCCTGACCCGTCTCTTTGTCCCTGTCACTGAGAAGCACCTTTGTGTTCACTGCAGGGATAGTATTTCACTGTGGGGCTGAATGAGGTGATTGAAGGAGCCTGCTGTTTACCAGACATAAAACTTCTGGAGTTCTGCTGAGAGAGTTCAATTTTGGTTTCAGATCAGAAAATATATTTCCTGGTAAAAGCAAAGCTGACTGACATTATTCATTTTTACATATATTTGCTAGAAAAAATGGCACACAGCAAAATACTAAAACATGCAAACACAAATGGAAATACAATATACAAGGCAAAAACAGAGTTTGTACAATTTTAATAAGCTTGAAGGACAATATTTGGTATGACCACCTTTACTGTCCGACGCAGTCTGAATTCTTAGGTAAACTTTTTGTAATGTCTTTTAGCGGTCTTCTGGAAAAGAGCCTTGAATGCCCTCCAGGCATCTTGAAGGACATTCAAGGCTTTTCTTTGGATGTCTCTGTGTAGATGATCCCACACTGCTTTAGTAATGTCAAGGTGTGATCTCTGGGGAGGCCAAATCTATTGCTGATATTATTCCACTGTATGTTTTTCAGTCCAGGTATGCTTTTAATACACTACTAGTGTGTTTGGGATGATTGTAATACTGAAAAATGAAACCAATCAGATGATTTCCATGATTTTTGCATGTTTTTTTTGACAGCAGTTTTCTTCATTCTAAATTCCAATTCAATCTTGACAAAATCCAACTCCACTGGCTGAAATGCAGCCCCCGACCATGATAGAGCATCCACCATGCAATGCAAATGACTGTAGATACTCACTGTTATGCGTCTCTCCTAACATCCTGCATATTGACAGCAATTTGAAGCAGAAAAATTCTATTTTGGATTTACCCCACTACATTCCCTTGCGCTGTCATTGATTTTCAGTTCAGTTCTTGTGCAATGTGGCATAGCTCAGCCTTTTCTCCCTGTTTCCCTTGCTTAAGAATGGCTTCTTGACAGCCACTCTTCCGCTGAGACCATTTCTGCTGAGGCTTCAGCGTACAGTCAACCGTCCAGATGCATCTTTCGGTTCCTGTGTCTAGTCTTTGCTGGATTTTACCTAGGACTTTCATCGATAGCTTTTAGGCCTCACAGTTCTTCTCTTTTCCTTTGCTTGTCCAATTTTCACAGACTTTTTAAGGACAGTTCCCACACCATGCCATACCCATTATATATAGATTAGTATTAATAAGGAAGCAGCTATCATTAAGTTCATCTTCTTTGCAGGAAATAACCAACATTTTGAAATCAAAATGTCTACATTAATTATCCAAGCAGGGGCATATGTATCTCAGAAGACAATCACTTAATTGAAATTAGCATTGAAGGTCAATTTTTCATAAAGGTAAATTCAATAACATGACATTTAGCTGTAATTAATAACACTGTGTACTTGCATGGCATTTGGCATTGCTTCCTTGAGGAAGCCAACACAAAGGAGCTTTATGGAGTTTTGCCATTTGCTTTTCTACAAGTATTTAATGCTGAAATTATGCATGAGATCTGTGCTGAAAAGGCATGGCTTATCATTTAATGAAAATTAGCTTGTGGTTTCATAAAGACCACGCTCATTTCATTTTAGAATTATAATAACAATATGCTGTGGTATTGTGTATCCTTGGAAAACTGGTGGGATAAATGGAAATTAATATCCGTTCATATATAAATCTTTGAATGCAGACAAAAGATTTAAACTCATGTTTATCATATGCTACATTTTTGATGTTGCAACAAAGCCAGAGTACTCATTTGTATTTCAGGCTATCGCCACCTTTTTTTCTCCAGAGTTTGTGCTGAAACGTACGAATAAACAGGGAGCACGGCAGCTATTTCACCTTGTTCAAAGTGCAGTGTTTCCATATTGTGCTAAATTGCTGTTTTCTCTTGTCTGTGAATTTACATAATGATCAGTGGTTAGTCGTCTGCTGAGCAAGTGGAAATGCAATAGTTTGTTTGTTGAGGTCAAAATTGAGGTCATTACTTTGGGTATTCAGGTGTAACATTACATGCTTTTAAATCTAATCGGATGTGGAGTTTTATTCACGTGGAGCTGCAGGGTGCTGATGTACGAACACAGGATTAAAGTGGAGTAATTGAATACTTTTTCTTTTCACACACAATTCAGTGATACACGTTTGTTCTGTTCCTCATGTTTCATCAGTTTTGTTTTGTTTTTGTTTCATTTCCACTTCTTTAAGTTATTTAGGCCAACAGTTCAAATTTCTAAAATAGAAATATTAAAAAAGCCTTTTCATAGATTCACATACCTAATCTAGATGCTTTCCATTTAGCTTTATTTTATTTCACATGAAATTAATATAAGTAGACATGTGCCTATAACTGTTTATGTGACATAAAGAAATCAAACAAGGCTTTCAAAAACATCTCACACACGCACAAAACATTTTAAACGAGGATTTCACGACAAAGGTGAGGGTGAATTTGGCACAAAGGCAAAGAAATCAAAAAATAAACGCAACAAAGAGTGTGAGGGTGTTAAAGAACTACATGGACTTGAACTGAAACTAAAGTGAAGCATCTAAACTAGAAATGTGTGTGCAAAATGTACAGAGATGTGCTTTTGAACTAAAATAAACAATGAAATAATTATTTAATGCAAAAAAAATCTGTCCGGTCAGCTGTACAGTTCTGTTAAGGCCCATAATTATTTAATGATTGCTTTACTTCTTGCAAATTTTATAAGTGCTCCTAAATATAGCATCTGCTTTAGCTATTCTTTGAGGACAGAGGGACACGTGAGATTAATTTCTGTAACGTATTTTTAAAAAAAACATCCAAAAAGCGTGTCCTCCTGTGGAAGCAGCGAATGAATAAAACTAAATGCAGTTAAGTGTGAAACCCTCCTCTGCCAACTTATTTTAAACACTGCAGTACAATTAACCTTTGCTCTGTGCATGAAATAGTTTTTCACAGAATAGTGGTGTACTCATTAATAAATTTTAATTATCTTTTTTTTATATAGCTGTTGTAGATACTGAAAAGATCCATTATGGGAAGCGACAAAAGTCAGGTCATAATGAAAGCGGAGAGGACGCTGGAATTAAATGTTGGAACTAATGAGTAACAAATTCATCTCAAAATCTTCAACGCTAAGGTAGAATAATAATATTACCAGCGTCGCCACATTTATTGTCATCATCCATATCAGTTTCTGCTCTACTTTATAAACCAAAAGATGCAAAACAGATGGAAAGAATGACAACGATCTGCAGTAAAAGCAAAGAGAATGGCTGAATAGATGTGCTAGAGTTAGAAAGTTGCAAAGTTGCATGTTTGCTTACCTGTGGAGTAACTCTTGCACAAAGCAGGACACCTGAATGTACCCAGCCAAGAATTCTGGCAGTTAGGTTTCAAAGAAACAATTGTTTTATGAACATATGTATTTTTTTGTATTTGGCGAAAGCACTGTACATTGATCTGTTCCACAGTCCACATACTGCAACACTGACATTACTGAAGGAATGTTAAAAGTTAGCTATATATTCAACTTTACACAGTCTTTGTCTGTCTGTGGCATCATCCATAGTTCTTCATGGGTTAGAGTCAAATTTTCACTGTTTTTACAAGAGTATCTGATTGAGCCATACAGCTCAATGTCAGAACGGAGTGACATGGAAGGATATTTTTGCTGTTGGCCTTTTGCCCTCATAAAGAATTTATATGCCCACTGAAATCGATGATAGATATTTCATCTTGTCTTTTAGCGAGTAACCTTCCGATGACCCGGCCTAAGAGTGAGAAATGTGACAAGTATTCCCTTTGAAAAACAGAAAATAAAAAGATATGTGGTAAATCTTTTTTTTTGTTAAGAGAATGGGGGAACACGTCCTTCTGTCTGTCCGTGTTCTCTTTCCCTTGATGCAGAGATTCTAGATCATTCCAGCCAGCCAAGGAGGAAGAAAGAGTCCCACAGATCCCAGTATACACACCAGCACAAACATCCAGAGGAATATCCTGTCAATGACCATGGCCACATACTTCCAGTCCTCCTTGACCTAGCAGAGAGGGGAAACAGCACAGGGGGACATTTCAAATTTCACTCCACGCCACCTTCCTTTTCTACCAGCTGTCAGTTTTCACCCTTGATTGATTTCTCACGAATGGCTGATTTTTTCATTATGAGTCTGCTATCTCTTAAATGTCAGTCAATCCTTGCTTGTGTCTCTTATGAAAAATTCAAGGTCAAATTGCGGAGGTCCCATTGTTTTAAAGACAGGCCTATTCTGCTTAGAGCTCGAAAGCGTATTGTGGCGTCGACGGTGACTGATGTCAGTGAATACAATAGGTTTTTATTACATTTGCTCACATATATCCTCCAGAAACTTATTTTTCCCCTCTCAGAAACTTTATAATTAGCATTTTATCACTATATGCTACATTTTTTAAATCATTTGACACGTAATACTTGTTCCAAGCACAGTTTCAGGGTTATGTTTGAAAGCAATAAAGAAAAGTCACTTGTCTAACGGTCAATTTTAATTAAGTTGCATAAGCATTTGTATGTGCGACTGTTCACACTGAGTTGCCCGTAAGAGCTTCTAAATAAGACAGTGTTCTTTTATCATCAGAAAATCCTGATTACTGTTATTACTGACTCAGTCATGTCACTTTTATCTTGCTTTTTAATAATGAGTAATGGTAGATTGACTTGTCATTTATGGGTCTGATACTTGATTGTCATTATGTGTTTATGTGCTCTTCCTTTCTTGCATCCCTTCTGAGTTTTTAGGTATGCGCATCCTCAACATATGCAAAAGCCATGGGAGCAGTATATAAACATGTATGTAAATGCCAACAACAAATGTTTTAAAAAGAAACAAATATGATATTGAAAGGCTTATTATACTTTGTATGATTTACAGTGAGCAGAATCAGTAGTTTAAAAATATATTCGTGTTGGCAGGGGTGATTTGGCCCTGTTCTTTTTCTAGTCAATAACATTTTTAAAGCCTCCTCCTAGTACACAGCATAGACAGGAAAAAGTATATGTGAACAATGCTGCATGCAGTGGAGCTCTGCATACATAGATGATAAAAAGCAAATAACAGCAACACAAAGGACAGCCCACACTGCTTAAAACACACTATTTTTCCAGTTATTCTGCAACGCAGCACACATTTATCTGAGAACTGTAACACGATTTATTTGTTGTCACTCAGTGGCTGAGTTCAGCTTAGCTGGATCTCTGACATGCAAAATAACAGGGTTACTTGTTTGTTCCGGATTACTTTCAACCTCTTTTGCACGAGAAAAGAAAGAAGTGGAGGAGCACTGCTTGGTGGGAGTGAGCACAGGGAACATACATGTAGGCTTTTTGCATGGAAGTACATTTCACCCCTGTGAGATCCAGTCAGAATCTGCTATTTTTATTTAATGTTCCTCTGACACCTTAAATGACTGGCAGGCAAAAGATGCGAGGTAGTTTTGTTTTTGTTTTTTTTTACAAACAAACTGACCTTTTAGAAATGTCCCCCACTGAGGTACCATGTTTCTCCTGCTGGGATCTGACTAATTTTGAATTTGAACAAATCGTGACAGATCAGGTATTGGATTTTATTCTCCCATGTACTTCAGTCTCTAAATGGTAGCTCAAAATTACACAGTGTGATTTTTGTACTGTCTGCCATGGCAGATAGCTCCGTGAGCCCGGTTCTGCCGGAGGCTTCTTCCTGTTAAAAGGGAGTTTCTCCTTCCCACTGTTGCCAAGCGCTTGCTCATAGGGGGTCATTTGATTGTTTTGGGTTTTTTTTTTTCAAATTATTGTAGGGTCTTAACATTAAAATATAAAGCACCTTGAGGTGACTGCTGTTGGGATTTGGCAATAGATAAATCAAGAATTGTGCTAAAAGCCCTTATTTAATTTCTGAAAGGATTTCACTTGTGTTTAAAACAGAACATTTAATTAACATTTAAAAGCATTATTACCAAGGCTTGATCGTTTCTGTCTACTCACTGAAAAGTCTGCATCTTCTGCCCTGAGATGATCAGCGATGTACTGCACTCCCTCTATGGCCCGTTTCATAGCTGGAGAAATAGTTGGAATCACAGCATCCTGTTGGGTACTTGCATCTTTTGTGGACTCTGCTGTTAGGGTTTCTGCTAGCTGATCTGTAGGAGGAGTTTTTTTCAACTGCCCCATTATTCCAGAGACCCCATCATCATGCAGACAGCAGTACTGGACGCTGCTGGAGCGACACAGATGTCTGGCTTTCTGAGGAAGCGACTTCTGTTGGTCAGACATTTGCTCTACGCTGTGGGAGCGACCATTTGGGGCCAGTCTACTTGGTTCTTCCCTCGACAGGTTGCGAAGTGGACCCAGTGGCAAAGTTGGGGGCAATGACAATTGGGAAGAAGACGAGGCCGCTGAGTTGTGTCTGCGTAGGGGTTGCTTCTCTGAGAGAACTGAATACTGACCAGATGTGGATCGGCTGAAAATGTCGGCCTTCAGTGGGTGATCTTCTTTATTGTGCTTCCCAAGAGGGGAAGAGGGTGGAGATGGTGAGCAGACGAGGATGCTTGGGCTGTCAGACTGTGTCCTTGGGAGTATATTTTCAGCCTGGGCCATTTGTATCAACCCAGTCTCTAGGCCTGTCCAGAAGGCCTGAGAGTTGCCTGTGGCAGATATCGTTGTTGGACGGTGCATCATCTCAATAAGCTTCTTGCAGTGCTGCTTTGCGGTGCCTGGCGGACGCTTCATGAAGAGGACCTGAGGTACCAAGTCCAGGAATACTCTGCGGACCCAGTGAGGCATGCCATGTGTTTGTGGGGATCGGTGGTGTACATTCAACACAAAGACGGTAATTATGATGGAGAGCGTGACAAAGACCATAGTGAACAGCAGGTATTCACCAATCAGGGGTATGACCAGAGATGTAGATGGTATTATCTCTGTTATCAGCAGGAGGAACACTGTTAAGGACAGTAGCACTGAAATGCACAAGGTAATCTTCTCGCCACACTGGGAAGGCAAATAGAACACCAGCACAGTCAAGCAGGAGATAAGCAGACAGGGGATAATAAGGTTTATAGTGTAGAACAATGGAAGCCTCCGGATGATGAAGTAGTAAGTGATGTCTGCATAGATCTCTGTGCAGCACTCATACTTTTTTGTATTGTACTTGCCCACTGCATTGACAATCACCCACTCCCCGCTCTCCCAGTAATCCATCTGGTCCACATCGCCGGCCATGCTGATCAGATCGATCTTGGCACGGTCATAGGTCCAAGAGCCGAACTTCATCTTGCAGCTTTGCTGGTCAAAAGGGAAAAACGTGACATCTATGCTGCATGAAGACTTATAAATGGCTGGTGGCATCCACTTTATCTGGCCATCGTAGAACAGATGCGCCTTTGTGAAGTGAGTAACTGCAAAGTCACCGTCGGCACTGCAGATGAAGACCAGGGGAGAAAGGTGGAAACACATATATCAGACTTACATCACATTTTAGCCCCTCTTTAATAAATAAATTTTATAAGTTTAATTCTGGGTGATTTCTTCAAGCACTACTTTAAAATGTTCAAGGTCAGTCGCAGCTCACAGGTAGAGTAGATGTTCAGTTGCCATGGAGATAACTAAGTCTTTTTCATTGGAAAACTCAAGTAACAAAAAGTGGAATTTGACCTAAGATTTTTTGCTTAATAGATACAGGAGAAAGTTGAAGAAGTGGTGTTATCAGTTTTTACAGTTTCTAACCCTGTGAAATTCAGGGGTCGAGACTAATTTAAAATGTATTTAAAAGATTAAGTATTCTGAGTCATCAAATAAAAAGTGAAAATGTCTTCATCTATGTCAATGACACTTATGTTTATGTGTATACATCTCTAAATGGGCAAGATGTCATGTCTTTAACATTCTGTTGGTGTCCAGTTTGTTCATTATTCAGTTCATTCACAGTCTGTTGTTGCCTTTTTGTTATCTCTTTATGCCCTACTTGTGTTTGAGTCTGTCTCCATTGAGTTACTTCCTGTTTTATTTTGGTGTTCCTTGTCATTTTCTTTCTTTTTTTCTTTTTCTTTTTGCAGTTCTTGTGTCTCATTATCCCTGATTTGTTCCAGCTGTGTTCCCCATCTTTTTCCACTAGCCTCATTAGCTTTTGTATTTATTGTCTCAGTCTTCCCTTGTCCTTTGTTGAGTGGCTCCATATTTCTGTGTGTTCCCTAATGTTTCTCTGAGTCTTGTAGTATTTGTTAGTGTTTCCTATCCTGGTGTAATTATTCCTCATTATTCCATTTTCCCGTTCTTATTTTGGACTGTTTCCCTTTCATCAATCCTCCACTTAATGCTTGCTTTATGCATTTGGGTCCACAAGCAGCTACCACTTTCCATACAGCTTATGATTTTCTGTTTAGAGACGTTTATGGAACAATTCAGTGCTAACATGATATAATTTTCGAGACGTGAATAAGGTCTTCATGTACCAGAGGAAAACAGAACTTGAAGATACAGTTTTGTCTCAGATCTGAAATCTCCTTTGTGTACACAACAGTCCTGCTTTTACACACCTGATACCATTTATTACATCCACCCTCATCGTGTGAACCAGCAATCTCAGTTCTACACGTCAAGGTGCAGAGCTCATTCCAAACCATTCACTCAGGTCTACAGAGGAAATAGCTTGAACCTATGTAATCAGAAAACCCTTTTGATGTTTATTTTCTCTGAATGGACATGCAGGCTATTCACAATGTAACCTTTTGCTGTTTAAATCAATGCTGTTTACAAAAGTCTTTGAGATATTGTGTCACAAATGCACTTCACAAGTGAGATCGCCATGTTTTGCCTTACTAATTAAAAGACATAAGTGACAAAGGTTCAGTCATTTCACCATGAAAACAACAATCACTGTTCAATAACTTAAAAGTTGGATATTTAGCAAATTCTTTCATGAAATTTTCTTTCCTATTAGCCGACTTTTGGAAATAATATTAATCCAGGTTTACTTGAGGTGCTCATACTAGATGCATTTTATCTTTGAAATACATCCAGCTACATTTCAGCTTCTTATTCCCAGCCAAATATATTACTTTCTGTCATACTGAGCTTTGTTTGTGACCACATCCATTAGGAGTGACCTTGTTCACATATATTTCAACTAAATTACTTTATGACATTGGCACAGGACAAGATGTTTGGCACAACAGCAGATTCTTCGTGTTTTCCCTCAAGTCATGCCATCTGTTGGAATTAAACCATCAGAATCTGAGCATTACTTGCCATGTGATCATTTTTACATTGAAATGTTGACATTTAAAACGCACAGGAAGCACACTGTGGGCCTGAAAAGAATCTAAATTTCATATAGCACAAAAAGGTGTTTCCTTCCTCACTTGTTGTAGAGGACAATGTCGGGTCTCCAGATAATCTCTGAGGGGATACGTATGGAGGTGACATTTTCATAATCCTCTGGGTTCCAGCGGAGTTTGTAATCGTTCCATTCCTGTTGCAAAACATTAATCATATTTATGCACCGCAGCGTTATATTGGATTGTATTTCACATGCCTTTTCTCTATCATCTTTTCTTACTTGCTTAACCCAGACATTTGTAGTCATCATCTGGTTCTTCTCATCCTTTTATGGAAAACAGAAAAGAGGATTACTCTGATTACAATGAATTCAACATCCATCAGCGCTTTATTACCACTGAGATAGAATTGAGTTTTTTCTTTCTCTCTTTTTTTATGGTCCTCCCCCAAACTCATGGGGATGGGCATTTTGTCCCCATAAGTGAGTGTTAGTCCCCACAAGTATAGTAGTATGGCAGTTTTCTGTCCTCACAAAGACATCTAAACAAGTACACACACACACACACACACACACACACACACACTTACACACACACACACACGCATTCATGAAGCATTTCTAGAACAAATCAACCAAAACAAAAAACACTTTCACTTCTTTGCTGGCAAGCTGCTTTCTCCAGCTCTTCCCTGGGAACTTCTAAGACACAGCAGTCAGTGAATGCACTGTGCAGGAGAAGACAACTTCACCTAAAGTTGACTCTCACCGGCAGGCAGGTGGAGAAAGCACTGTCAACTAATTGTGTGTCATAAACCTGGAAAGTCATCCCCTGCAGCACAGTCTTGCACTGGGTAACTTTTAAATGGCTCTGCATGGCAGTCGGGTGATTATATAACCATTTTTACCTTAGTCAACAGAATCTCAGTGACATTTGTGTAAAATGCATACTAAAAGCTTGCACTTAAAACCACAGGAGGTCTGGAATGCAAAGATACCAACATGACGAGAGGGGATAACGACGTTATTTTTGTCTAGAGCAGCTGTGTCTGGATTGCTGCTCAGGAGACAGATTTGAATATTTACTGTCTGTGTTAGCATACTTGACAAGTGAATTTAATTTGGGAAAATAATGCATTGTCTTCTGTTGGTGTGCTTTCATTTCCGCTGATTTATCTCTCTTGCATGGTGTATCTTTCAGCTAGTAATTACCAATATACAGCACATAAGACAGAATCTCCTCCCAACATAACACTCATAATAATGAAACACATGCCTCATGCCCATTCAACAAGCCAGGATGTTTGTAATTACAAGGATAGCTTTTTTTTTTTTTTTTTTTTTTTTTTAAATCTTTACAACTTTAGTGATATATGAATTTAGATATTTATATAAATGGTAACTTAATTACAGGTAGTTTAAAAAAGCTATTTAAAGATCAGAGTCCCATTATGGAGCCATAACATCGAAATGCCTCGCAGTCGTTTCTTTTCTCCTCAAAGAAGAAACACACAGATCGTGTTAGTTTTGAAGGGCACAGTGTTAGCTAGATTTAAATGTCCAGTCGTAGATGTTGATGGAAACTTAACAAAGATGTCAGCTATTACTTACCACATCAATTAGCTGAGCGATAGATAGTCCAAAGTGGACTAGTACTGTATCTGTAGTGTTCCTCACAGGTCGGGAGAGCTTATTGTAATTTGCAAACAGATTCTGGAGCAGCCTCTCTTCAGCGTGGGCACGGGGTCCAAGTTGGAAACACACTGAGGCCAGAAATGAGAAAAAAATTCAACAAAACAAGAAGCTGAGATTAATCGTGTGCCGTCCTGTTTATGTAATTTAAACGAGACCAATTGATCTTTACTTAGAACTGCAACTGCAATGCATAGGATATTCTTTCCTATGTTTTTTTTTTTTTTTTTTTTAACTCCATGGTGATTTGTACCAGTTGATTTTGTGCAGGGCTCTCGTGCATATTCTCATAACGATTTTGAATTGTTTCTATTTTTGTTCACATATTCATGAAATACAGGGCAGAACTTTATATGAATCCTATTAATGTTGAAAATATTTGCTTCCATTCACAATACATTGATCAATAATGGATTGAGCTGATGCTACGATACCAAAGAATACAAAGTGTAATCTAAAAGTAGGGTGACCTCTATTATACAGCTGGCCTATGGTTACATGAGACGGGATCTGAGAGACGGGACAAATCAGGATGGAGGGTTTGGGGTGGGGTGGGGGGGGTTGCATAAAAGGAATAAGAGGAAGGAACAAACGTGCTGATGGAGCGATCTGTCCAGACGTTTCCCTCACCACCCTCCTCCACCCACCCTCCACTCTCTCCCTCTCCCTTTCTTCCTTTCAACAGCCGTCCTGATGAAGCAACTCAATCAGATCCCTCGGCACTGAGAAGGACCCGGCGAGGTCTGGGGACAATTAAAGACAAAGGGATCATCCTGTGCCTTCGACAGGACGACGTCCTTTGCATTTTGGTTCTTTCCTTTCACATTCACTTGGGCACTTTTCCATTATAAACCTTGTTGCATCTGTGCAGGTAATTCATTGTGTTTGCAATCTTTCAGAGGCAGTGATTGATTTAACTGGCCTCACTGATATTTTATCATCTCTCGCAGTACCACACAGTTCAATGTCTTTCTTTCTCTATGGACCTTATACTGTACATTATATCACACTCTATATTAATTGTGATGCATTTTAATTTGTTTTGTCAAATATCACATGAAAAAAATAATCCTAAAGAGGACCCTTCCAAACTAGATTCTTATGGTTTCTGGACAACATTAATATATTCGCCAAACACACTTTTGCTTGGCTCAGGCCCCTATAGAAAGGACGTGAGAGGACCTTTCTATAGGCTTCCATTAGTGACTGCCACTTTTCTAAGTCTATATTATTCCAAACGCCCCTTACTTGTATCCTTAAAATAGCGATACAGGTGTTGTTGCCATGCTGCTGGCCTTCCTCTTGGGTCCTCCTACCCACTCAATCAAAGTTGATGGGCTGTCTTTCAGTTGACTGAAAACTGGCATCCACTACTTTTAAAAGCTTGGGATCGATATCTTATTAAATGGATATAGTTTCTTTTTCCTTTCATGACTTGTCTTCCTGTTTTCACCTGGATCTGTTTGACATTTCCAGACACCCAACAACCTTGAAATGCTGTTACACGTTCAGACGAGAGAGGCCGTCAAAGGTGGCGTTTGTTTTATCGCATCAAATTAGAGCATTATCTGTTGAATGCGACCAATATTAAACTAAACCGAGGCTCGAGTACATTTCAAATCAGCCTTGGGACTAATGGGTTTATATGGGAGAGCTCACAGGGTGTTGTGACTTTGGTAAAAAATGCAGATTAGAGCAATAATCTTTGCAGGAAAAAGTAGGCAACTGTTAGATGAGTTTACTTCTACATGGTGTGTTCTCCAATACACTATGAATAAGACTGATGCAGACTGTGATGATGCCAGTGTCTTTCACTCATCATCGTGAAGTTTTTCTTATATTGCTGTATTTTACAGTTTTCTGAAGCTACAGCAAAGCCTGATGAGTTATTTGGACGTGTCAGAGCTACTGGGTCCAAATCTGTCCTCATCTGATCAATGCTGTCTCATAGGACAGTATTGCATCAGAAGCAAATTAATTTTCACTCAAGTGAATACTACACTTGAACCAGGCAGATGAAGCTTGTTACCAGGCTACAAAGCTCGCGTAGCAACACAGGCAGTTTCTACCCTTCAGTAGCAAACTACAGAAAACAATTTTTTTTGTCCCAAAGGTCGTGTGTTTTTATGGTTGTATTGTTCATTGTGCCAAATTAGCCCTCAGCAAAAATCATTGCCTGTCTAATAAGTAATGAGACTGGGGTGGACTGAATATAGATGACTGGGGTAAGAAGAGAGGCTTATATTAAATAGAAAAGCAAGGCCATCTGATGCCTTTCAGTCGTTTCTCTGAATTGCCCTGCTATTTAGGGCAAACCTATTGAAATGGCACAAATACAGGCAGTTCTTTTGAGTCATGCAGTAAATTACTTTGTAAGCCAACTTTGTTGATGCTGATAAACTTGAGCAGCGTGATATTTTAAACAGAAAAAAGAGGAGTGGAAAAAAATATCTAATTTGAGATGATTAGTAGCTAAAAAACCCTCCTCTTTCAATATATACTTCTGCCTTCAGCAAAAATGAAAAACACATTAACATCCTTTGCATCCCCTATGTTGAAAAATAAAATGACAGATGATGCAGCTTTAATGACAGCGCGGGGGAATTATTTACCTTGTGGAGGAAGAGTGAAGAAAAGTAAGCTCAAACATTTGTAGAAATCCATAGTGATCCAGCAGTACCCAACTCTATCAGTGAACTCCCTCCAACTTCTGCTGGATTTCAGTCATAGCAGAAGTGATCAAACCTGGAAAGTCTGCCCCGTGACAGCAGGTCGTCAAGGGGTTCAGATCAGGTTAAACACCCAGACGCAGAGGTCACGTCAGTCTGAGTCAACCCAGGGTCCGGCAGTCCTCCTGATTCCATCTCTCCATCTTTTCACATTCTCTTTTGTCCAGTCATAGCAGTATGAAGGACCCACAGACACATAGTGTAGTTTTTCTTATCCAACACTTCAAAGTCCCTCCTCCTCCTTCCACTGGAATCCTTCATCCAAGTGTGGCTGGCTTATCCTTCTCTTCTCCACCCTCCCTGTCAACATTACTCCCTCCCTCGCCTCTCATCTCTCCGCCTCCTCACCTCATCTCTCCCTCTCTCTCTTTCTCTCCCCCTCTCTCTCTCACACACACCTCATTTCTCTCTTTGTATTCTATCTTTCCCTCCTACTTACATATTTCTTTTTCTCCCTGTTCCAGTTTTCTCTCTTCTTCACTTTTTTCATTGAAAACAGAACTTTTTGTCAGTCTCTTTCTGTGTGTGTGTGTGTGT